TTATGGACGATGATGGCAGTAAATCTCTGGACTTCCAGGAGTTTCAGAAGGGGCTGGAGAACTACGGCGTGTCCGTGGGGAAGGACAAAGCACAAATGATCTTTTCCCTGATGGACAAGGATGGAAGCGGCACCCTCAACTTTGATGAGTTTCTGGAGAAACTAAGGGTAAGAAACTACACAAACGTTTCCAGGATGCAGAAATGTAAATAAGAGATTCAATATGCAGTGTAGACAGCGTCATTGATTATAATTGAAGTTGAAGCATGAGTCCAGAACTCAGTCACAGATAAACTCGCGTTCTTTGATCGCTTTCTGTATATAATTAAATCACAATTTAAACAACCAATTATTTTCATGCTACACTCTAAAAAATGCTGGGTTGTTTTAACCCAACTTTGGGTCAAATATGGACTAATCCAGCCGTTGGGTTAAATTTTTACATTACATTTTTAACCCAACATTTCGGGTTTGTCCATATTTGACCCAAAATTGGGTTAAAACAACCCAGCATTTTTTAGAGTGTACTAAGAGAAACAAAGTAAAGTTAACCATTTAGTCACTGGCTTGATTTACTGACTTAAATTTAATGATTTTGAGACGAAGAACCTCTGACTGTGCATGAATCATTATCAGAAATTACTGATCACAGATCAGGCATCAGAATGAATAATCAGAATTTATCGTCGGGTCCATAACTTACAAGCCTGCACCGAAATTTCAACTGATTTACCAAATCCACAGTGAAATATACCAACCACTTGAATCCGTGTCTTTGCTTCAGCCGCCCATGTCGAGTGCGCGGAGGCAGGTGATCGGTCAGGCTTTCCAGAAGCTTGATAAGACAGGCGACGGTGTTGTGACTGTAGAAGATCTGCAGGGGGTTTACAACAGCAAACATCACCCCAAATTCAAGAGCGGAGAGTGGACAGAAGAACAAGTCTTCCACTCGTTCCTCGACAGCTTCGACTCTCCGTACGACAAGGATGGAAAGGTTCCTGCATTACAGTCTTAATAAGTGTCTGGAGATTAGATATTACTATCATCATCATCATCATCATCATCATGAGTGTTCATTTTACTCCTCATACACAATACCATACTAATTGTACATTATATTAACCGAAAAGGTGTAGGCCGAAGCTTTTTCATAAGCATCACTTCCACTACTAAAAGCATATCTCTAGCTATGCAAAAAGATACAAAAACAAAACAGTTGCTATAAAACTGCTGAAGATCTTATAATTATGACCTAATATGTAATTTAATTGTTTGTCATAATTTCGACTGTGACTTTTTAAATCTGAATTTATGATTTTTTGTCTTCATTTTAAAAAAAATCTCATGACTTTGTCACTTTTCATTTCATAATTATGACTGTCATATTTTTTAAGACTTATAAAATATAGAATTTTATGTTTATTTTTTTTAGTCTCATAATTAACTAAAGTTATGATTTCATTTAGCTGTTTTTTTTTTAATGTGGCAGAGATTTTAACTTTTAACTTACTGTACCTGTACCTTTACTGTATTTAAAATATATGACAAAAACAAAACGGTTACTAAAGACAAATTAATTTAAGAAATTAATAACTTTTATAAATTAATACAATTCTTTCATATATTTTATATACAAATTATTAAGAGACTTGATCACTATATATTATGAAAAGATTTAATTTAGGTTTTTATTCCCATATAAAATTGATCAGAAAACATAAACAGAAGCTCAACCAAACCTGCTTGACATGCAAACCTCTTGCAGAAGCTCAAACGTGATGCGTAATACGAGAATGAACCTCATTGGTTCCTGCAGAAGCTCAAAATTCGTGCGTAACACAAGAATTAATTTCATTGGTTCTTGCAGAAGCTCAAAAGTGATGCGTATTATGAGAATGAATCTCACTGGTTCTTGCCGAAGCTCAAACGTGATGCGTAACATGAGAATGAACCTCATTGGTTCTCGCAGAAGCTCAAACGTGATGCGTAACACGAGAATGAACCTCATTGGTTCTCGCCGAAGCTCAAACGTGATGCGTAACACGAGAATGAACCTCATTGGTTCTCGCAGAAGCTCAAACGTGATGCGTAACACGAGAATGAACCTCATTGGTTCTTGCCGAAGCTCAAACGTGATGCGTAACACGAGAATGAACCTCATTGGTTCTCGCAGAAGCTCAAACGTGATGCGTAACACGAGAATGAACCTCATTGGTTCTCGCCGAAGCTCAAACGTGATGCGTAACACGAGAATGAACCTCATTGGTTCTCGCCGAAGCTCAAACGTGATGCGTAACACGAGAATGAACCTCATTGGTTCTTGCCGAAGCTCAAACGTGATGCGTAACACGAGAATGAACCTCATTGGTTCTCGCAGAAGCTCAAACGTGATGCGTAACACGAGAATGAACCTCATTGGTTCTCCCAGAAGCTCAAACGTGATGCGTAACACGAGAATGAACCTCATTGGTTCTTGCCGAAGCTCAAACGTGATGCGTAACACGAGAATGAACCTCATTGGTTCTCGCCGAAGCTCAAACGTGATGCGTAACACGAGAATGAACCTCATTGGTTCTTGCCGAAGCTCAAACGTGATGCGTAACACGAGAATGAACCTCATTGGTTCTTGCCGAAGCTCAAACGTGATGCGTAACACGAGAATGAACCTCATTGGTTCTTGCCGAAGCTCAAACGTGATGCGTAACACGAGAATGAACCTCATTGGTTCTCGCAGAAGCTCAAACGTGATGCGTAACACGAGAATGAACCTCATTGGTTCTTGCCGAAGCTCAAACGTGATGCGTAACACGAGAATGAACCTCATTGGTTCTCGCCGAAGCTCAAACGTGATGCGTAACACGAGAATGAACCTCATTGGTTCTCCCAGAAGCTCAAACGTGATGCGTAACACGAGAATGAACCTCATTGGTTCTTGCCGAAGCTCAAACGTGATGCGTAACACGAGAATGAACCTCATTGGTTCTTGCCGAAGCTCAAACGTGATGCGTAACACGAGAATGAACCTCATTGGTTCTCGCAGAAGCTCAAACGTGATGCGTAACACGAGAATGAACCTCATTGGTTCTCCCAGAAGCTCAAACGTGATGCTAACACGAGAATGAACCTCATTGGTTCTTGCCGAAGCTCAAACGTGATGCGTAACACGAGAATGAACCTCATTGGTTCTCGCAGAAGCTCAAACGTGATGCGTAACACGAGAATGAACCTCATTGGTTCTCGCAGAAGCTCAAACGTGATGCTTAACACGAGAATGAACCTCATTGGTTCTCGCAGAAGCTCAAACGTGATGCGTAACACGAGAATGAACCTCATTGGTTCTCGCAGAAGCTCAAACGTGATTTATCACAACTGATGTGCGAGTTGATTAAAGTTAAATGTGAATAAAAGTCTAAATTACAACATGCCATGAACACACCTTTTTCTCTTCCTGTGATAGGTGACGCTGGAGGAGTTTGTGAACTACTACAGTGGGGTCAGCGCTTCTATTGACAGCGACGAGTATTTCATCACCATGATGAAGAACGCATGGAAGCTGTAGTCATCATCATCGCTCGCCAATCAAACGCATTCGATTTGTCATTAGAAATAACACTGAAATAGTGCCGATTGTAAACTATTTACATGTAGAAATCATGTCTAATTAAAGGTTTTTGACTGCTACACCTCGTCTTAATGATTCACACATTGCTTGTTCCCAGAAGTCGAAGTCCCTCTCACAAAACCATCTGATTCTGGTTGACCTTTGACCCCCGGACACGAAAGTAAACAGCGTGAGAGCCAGTCAAAATCTGGGTTTGTCAGACGTCAGCTTCAGAAGAGCTTTATTGATTTCTGACAAACACCCTTTAATCAGTTGTTAAATGGCACCAGCTGGAAAGGCTGGAAACTTATAGTAATGTTTGAGTTTGTCGCCATCTGCTGAACATTCGCAACATGACACCTCAATGTCATAATTCATTTTAGGTAAAAAAAAAAAAGTCTGATTATTGATTCAATTAAAACAAGTAGAACAAAAGTGATACTCACTACACAGAGTTTTGTCAACCAACTAGCAATTGGCAATTAAAACTAAACTAAAGACACTACCATTCAAACTGTTTATTCAGCAAGAATGCATTCAATTGATCGAAAGTGAGAGTAAAGACATTTATAATGTTACAAAAGAGTCTATTTAAAAAAAAAATTCTGTTTGTTTCAATGTTCTATTCATCAAAGATTACGGTTTCCACAAAAATATGAAGCAGCACAACTGATTTCAACATTGATAATAATCAGACATGTTTCTTGAGCAGCAAATCATCATATTATAGTGATTTCTAAAGGATCATGTGACACCGAAGACTGCATTTTTAAATACTTTTAAATATCACAACATTACAATTGTTTTTAATATTTTGATCAAATAAATGCAACCTCGAGTATGAGATGAAATAAAATAAAAATCTCACCCCAAACTTTTGAACGGTAGTATACATCAGGTGAAACTCAAAAAATTAGAATATCCTGCAAAAGTTCATTTATTTCAGTAATTCAACTTAAAAGGTGAAACTCGTTACATGCAAAGTGAGATATTTCAAGCTTTTATTTGTTATAATTTTGATGATTATGACTTATGAAAACCCAAAAGTCAAAATTAAAATATTGTGAAAAGGCTTTATATTTCAAATAAAGGCTTGAAATATCTCACTTTGCATGTAATGAGTCTATATAATATATTAGTTTCGTCTTTTAAGTTGAAATTAACTTGAATTAGCACGATATTCTAATTTTTCTTTTTTAAACTATTAAGAAGTTTGCATTGTGAAGATATTTCCATTATGCAAAATACATTTTCTTTAAACTTTGGATGCTTATCCCATAAATTTAAAAACTGCAATAAATCACCATAACCTCATAAAGATAAATCACATGATTCTTCCTTGTGAGAAAGTGAAGCCCACGATTTGACATAAGACAAAAATTTATTTCAAATGTTTCATCTTTTTTTTTTTTTTTTACTTTGATATTACTATTTATTTTGTAAAGGAGTTTGGAGACATGGTGTGCTAGTAAGTGATAATATACGCATAGAAATTTACAGAACATTCAAGGGTACAAGTTTTTTTTTTTGTCCTTTTTTTTCCTGTCTAAATGCACTCAAACTTCCAACACACGAAGAAATATCATCTCCAAACGACATGAAAATGGATAAAAAGTTAATATAGTAAATCAATATTTAAAAAAAAAAAAGGCCAAAACAATACAAACCCTCAGAATATGGAAAATAAAAACATACAGAGACGCTGCTTTAAATGTTAAATTCTCATCAGTTCAACTAAAAAAAGAAATATTAAACATTATCGAAGCTACACAACTCAATTTGATGTGTGAAGAGACGATTTTCCTCTTTTACAGGGGCGAGGTCTAGAAACAGGTTGACTACAGCACGGGTCCGTGTGCTGGTTCAGTCCTTTATTGGTTAACACCGATGAGAAATCTAACTACCATCTTAGCAGACTAGTAAAAGTGTCATCATGTCCTGGAAAGTGAACATCCAGGAGACGCTCTGGCAGAAATCAGAAAATGGTACAACTACACCGAACACAGGGGATATAGGTCAGGTGACTGATGCTACCGGCCAGCTGGTTGGCCGATAAGTGTGATGATGCGGCGAGGTCACGATGAAGTGGTCTGAAGCCGAGAGAGATAGAGAGAGAGACAGAGCGAATGAGTAAAAAACGGTCCCACGGTAGAAACTGCAGTCTTGTCGATTCCGTGTCTTAAACGGAGAGAGAAACACCCTCACACTCATCAATATGATGAGCAACCAAGTCCAAAGCCATACATGGAAAAGTCTCGATTTTTTTTTCTCCTTTTTTCTTTTTTTGTTGTCTTTTTAATTTGTTTATTTGCAGTCCAAGAGGAAAAAAAAAACAACTAAAAACAAATGAAACGATAAAAAAAAAAAAAACAGCTCCAGATTTACAATAAATGTTGGAGGGGAAAATGAACTACAGAAGTTTGGGTGAGTCCCAGGGGTCCTCGGACCGGTCTGACTGGGCTGTCCGCAGAGATGCCTGCGCTGAGGTGGGCGGCTGTGGCTGGAGCAGAGCTTCATGATGCTATGTGCTCTCGCCCGCTGGGGTCTCGCTGTTCTCACAGTTACCTGAGAGAGAACACAGAGGAGCTCAACTCACAAATATACAGTAAAACAAGCGGCTGTTCAGTTTTTTAATTACTGAATATTTGGGATATTATTACAGTTTTTTTTAAAGGTTCCTAATTTTGTTTTTGAGTCTCCTACAGTACATTCAATCCTTGATTGAACCCTTTCAGAAAGGTCAGTCTCTCTAAATCCCTGCTTTCTGAGTCTACTCTGCTCTGATTGGTCAGATGGCCCAGTCTGTAGTGATTGGTCTACTCTGCTCTGCTCTGATTGGTCAGATGGCCCAGTCTGTAGTGATTGGTCTACTCTGCTCTGATTGGTCAGATGGCCCAGTCTGCTGTGATTGGTCTACTCTGCTCTGATTGGTCAGATGGCCCAGTCTGTAGTGATTGGTCTACTCTGCTCTGATTGGTCAGATGGCCCAGTCTGTAGTGATTGGTCAGATGGCCCAGTCTGTTGTGATTGGTCTACTCTGCTCTGATTGGTCAGATGGCTCAGTCTGTAGTGATTGGTCTACTCTGCTCTGATTGGTCAGATGGCCCAGTCTGTTGTGATTGGTCAGATGGCCCAGTCTGTTGTGATTGGTCTACTCTGCTCTGATTGGTCAGATGGCCCAGTCTGTAGTGATTGGTCTACTCTGCTCTGATTGGTCAGATGGCCCAGTCTGTAGTGATTGGTCTACTCTAATCTGATTGGTCAGATGGCCCAGTCTGTAGTGATTGGTCTACTCTGCTCTGATTGGTCAGATGAGCCAGTCTGTAGTGATTGGTCTGCTCTGATTGGTCAGATGGCCCAGTCTGTAGTGATTGGTCTACTCTGCTCTGATTGGTCAGATGGTCCAGTCTGTAGTGATTGGTCTACTCTGCTCTGATTGGTCAGATGAGCCAGTCTGTAGTGATTGGTCTGCTCTGATTGGTCAGATGGCCCAGTCTGTAGTGATTGGTCTACTCTGCTCTGATTGGTCAGATGGCCCAGTCTGTAGTGAATGGTCTACTCTAATCTGATTGGTCAGATGGCCCAGTCTGTAGTGATTGGTCTACTCTGCTCTGATTGGTCAGATGGCCCAGTCTGTTCATGTTAACTAGTCCATTAAAAAAATAATAAGATACAACTTGATTTTAAGAGTGTCAGCAAATGTTGAAATTAACAAGATCAATAAATACTGTAGAACTATTATTCATTGTTAGTTCATGTTAAATAGAAAGTGTTATCAAAATGATCCATCTAAAGCCTTGTTTGATAATATTTAGTTATGCATTAGCTAACAATGTGTAATATGTTTATTAATTTTTGTAAGAAGTAAAGACTGTGTATTTTAGGCTTCTTTACAATTAAAAGTCCCGTAATATGCAAACTTAAAAATATATATATGAATATATATTTAAAAACCTCCTGTACTTTCTGTATTCAAATAAATTATGCACTCTAAATGTTTCAAATTATGAGCATAAAAGTGAAAAAGTGCTTTGCAGAGACAAATGCTTCATACGTTGTGGTGAAACACAGTCAAATGAAAGAGTCGTACCGCTGCTGGTGGAGTTCCCCGTGCCGGTGGAGTTGGTGGCGCTGCTGTTGTTAGTGGGTTCGTCGTCGTCGCTTGACTGTGGGATCTCTGGTTCTGCCGGGGCGGGTGTGTTCTCAGTGTCCGGCTCCACACGACTCCTCAGGGCCAGGATCCGGTGGTGTAGAGCGGCGGCCAGCTGACCCGCATCTTTAGAGCTCGCCTGAGGACACACATCACAGATCATGCAGGGTTCCCAAAAACAACATCTGCATGACTTTCCCAGTCCCTGATGAATGTACAAGGACTGGATGATTAATGGAAAAATTATTTTATAGACTGCAGTGCACACACAAAACAATTTATAATGGATGCAATATCTTAAAGCTGAGAATAATTAGCGTGTAAAATTTACATTCTCATACATATCCTCGTGCAAATGTCTATCACTTGATTTCATTGACTAATAAGTAGGGCTGTCAAACGATTAATTGCATCCAAAATAAAAGTTTGTGTTTACATAATTTATGTGGGTGCACAGTGTATAATTGTTTTGTGTGTATATATATATATATATATATATATATATATATATATATAAATACACATATATATATATATATATATATATATATATATATATATATATATATATATAAATACACACACGCATGTATATTTAAGAAAACTATATTATTTATATATAAAATATTAATATTTATATATAAATCTATATACATGAAAATATTTCTTAAATATATACAAGCATGTGTGTAAACTATGTAAACACAAACGTTTATTTTGGATGCGAATAATTGTTTGACAGCCCTACTAATAAGGCCTGTAAATAATGGGCTTTTTCCATGACACAATCAGAAAAATCTTAAATTTGTTTAAAAAAAAAAAGAATGAAAATATTTATTATTGATCAATTAAAATACATTCAGAAAAAATAAGATAATTAAAATTAAGAAATTCCTTTTTATATAAAAATTAAAATAATTGCAATTAAAAATACAAGTCAAATATATTACTTTTAATTCTAAATATTAAAAAATAAATATGATTTTAACTAAAATAAATGCATTTTATGAAGATAAATAATTTATTAAATCGACAAGAAAACCTGATACAAAAATGTAACTTTTAAAGCAAGTTATGCATGTTACCTTTGCATTAATTCACTGACAAATACAACTAAATACCAATCCCCTTCTTGTGTGAGGCGTTATGGAGGTGTCCGTCATACCGATATGAGGAAGACCTTGACTCCCTGGTCCTCGGTGTCCATGGCTGTGATACGAACGCTTTTCTCACTGGCTTTATCCACCTGCATCTGAGGCCAAAGCTTCGTGTTGAGAATCAATCGCAGACTGCCCTGCGTACGCATCACTGCAAAACACACGGAGGAAGATGAGAAAGACGAAGCTTAAATATATTATATAGACTCATTACATGCAAAGTGAGATATTTCAAGCATTCATTTGTTATAATTATGATGATTATGGCTGACAGATATGAAAAACTTTTCTCAATATTCTAATTTTGAATTTGGGGTTTCATAAGCTGTAAACCATAATCATCAAAATTATAACAAATAAAGGCTTGAAATATCTCACTTTGCATGTAATGAGTCTATATAATATATTAGTTTCACCTTTTAAGTTGAATTACTGAAATAAATGAACTTTTGCACGATATTCTAATATATATTTAAACCACAATAATATGTGTTGTGCACGTGAACGGTAATTTACTGTTTATTTCGGCCGTAATGTGTCGAACTAATGTGATGAGTCATCACCAGACGCTAGTGTTTTGAGTGTTTGTTTATTCTTTGTACTACTGTATTTTGATTAGGGATGGGCAACGATTAATCGCATCCAAAATAAAAGTTTGTGTTTACATAATATATGTGTGTGTAGTGTGTATAATTATTTTGTATATATAAATACCCACACATATATTTAAGAAAAATGTGTTATTAATACATCAAATATTTATATTTATATATAATATTAGTTGTGAATAAATATATATAAAACATATACACATGCACATATTTCTTAAATATATACATGCATGTGTGGGTATTTATATATACAAATTAATTATACACACTACACACACACATATATTATGTAAACAAACTTTTATTTTGGATGCGATTAATCGTTGCCCATCCCTAATTTTCAAGTTGAATACATTTATTGTATTATGTTTACTGATTTTCTTAGTGGAATTGGTGCAATGAGACGTACATATTGGACGAATATTGCAAATTATTTCTTTCTGTACACCACACACAATCACAGATGCATTATTAAAGGAGTAGTTCACTTTTGAAAAAACTTTTGCTGATAATTTACTCACCCCAATGTCATTCAAGATGTCCATGTCTTTCTTTCTTCAGTCGAAAATAAATTAAGGTTTTTGATGAAAACATTCCAGGATTTTTCTCCTTATAATGGACTTCCATGGGAACCAGGTCCAACCGAGGTCCAAACGACAGTTAATAACAGTTTCAGATGCAGCTTCAAATGTCTTTAAAGGACACCAGACGATGAATAAGGGTCTTATCGTGCGAAACGATCGGTTATTTCAAAGCTTATTCCAAAAATGTAACTTTTCTAAGGACAAATGCTAGCCTTGCTCTATTCTGTGAAGCGCGTTTACAACGTCACGTAATACGTAATTACGTTCAAAAGGTCACGGGCGACGTAGCCAGAAGTACAGATTCAGAGTGTTTACAAGTTGAACGCATAGGTTGAACGTGAAAACTAACTCAAACGCCGTTTACAAAAAAGGAATTAAAAGGTAAAACAACTAGGGCTGGGCAAAACAATCGATTTTTCGATTAATCGTTTTTTAAAATGTGGTCGATTCAAAATCGATTCTCAACGGCCACGAATCGATTTTTTTCCATATAAAGGGCTCGCGGACGCGGTGCTGCATCTTCTCGTCTCTCTGCACTAGGCAAGCGCTGCAGCTGTCGATACACACACGCGTTCAGGAGTCGGGACACGACGGAATAATCACTTGCACAATCGGGCCAGCATTGCATCGTGACCTATGATCGTAACTAACGTTTATCATTTATTTGCTCAAGCAATGTTAACCATCCCGTGCTCGCGCACTCTCAGAGATTTCTTTCACTGCGTGCACAGCCTAAATCTGCCTCACAAACAGCTCGCCAGAAACAAAAGTTTTATCCCTGGATTATATCACTTTAACAGTTAAAACACGCGACATTATGTCAAAACTCTGGTCTTGGTGAGTAACCTCGTAAAGACAGTCGGTAATGTCTTAAATTAGCATTAAACGCGTGTGACAGAAAGTTAATGAAACAGTAATGGATTCGCGCACTAGTTCTTAAAGTGAACGCAGCCATTTGTGTCAGTCATTAATTCTGTTGTCATAACAACAGAATATAGTATTAATTGTAAGCAATCAGAATTAATAGCCTTTGTATGGACTAAAAAGACTATCCAGTGTTATTTTACATTGGATTACTTTATTCAGTTTCTGTAGTATTTCTGACATACCCAAAAAACTACCCCAAAATGTCTCTTAATTTGTGTCTTTATTCTATTGTATTTATTTGTGCTACTTTTTTTTAATTTAATTCAAAGATTGAAATCAAGCATCCATACATAAACTCTTAACAAAAAAAATACATTAACATTTAGGTAAGATCAATGTAAAAAATGTCTAAATATTTATATATTTATTTATCTATATCTATCTTAAACATAAAATAACATGATACTGTTTGATCAAGCTGTGCGACTGTTCTGTGCGACTCTTTTTTGCATATTGCATCAAAATCTTTGTATGCAATTAGTGTACCTAAAATAAAAAGTGTTTTATATATAGGTTTATGGCTCTTAATTTTCTTGTATTACTTAACCACTAGTAAACTTATGTCCACTGTTCTTTTTTATAAATTATAAATATAGGATTTGTATTACATCTTCATTATAGTTGAATCGAGAATCAAATCAGGAATCGAGAATCGAAAATCGAATCGAGAATCGAAATCGAATCGAACTGAGAGCTTGCGAATCGAAATCGAATCGAAATTGAAATGTGAATCGATACCCAGCCCTAAAAACAACGATGTCGGAGGATTTTGATTCTGTACTTCAGGCTACGTCGCCCGTGACCTTTTGAACGTAATTACGTATTACGTGACGTTGTAAACGCGCCTCACAGAATAGAGCAAGGCTAACATTTGTCCTTAGAAAAGTTACATTTTTGGAATAAGTTTTGAAATAACCGATCGTTTCGCATGATAAGACCCTTATTCATCGTCTGGTGTCGTTTAAAGACATTTGAAGCTGCACTGAAACTGTTATTAACTGTCTTTTGGACCTTGAACCGTTTGGTTCCCATTGAAGTCCATTATAAGGAGAAAAATCCTGGAATGTTTTCATCAAAAACCTTAATTTCTTTTCAACTGAAGAAAGAAAGACATGGACATCTTGGATGACATGGGGGTGAGTAAATTATCAGCAAAAGTTTTTTCAAAAGTGAACTACTCCTTTAAGAATCGCTTCTCCACTCATGATTCTCTAATCAAAATTTGATCCATATTCGGCCGCCTCAACCAGCTGAACTTTTGATTGTAGTGGGATTTCGAAAACACAGAGACGCTCTTACCTAATCTGGACTGTAACGAGCCGTCATCGGTGGACGCCATGTCGTTCAGTCTGAGCAGACCGCGGCCTCGTTCCACCCACGACTGAGCTGGCTTATCGAACACAAACAACTTGCACTGCATCTGTGGAGAGACGAGGTACAAATCAGCTCATTATCAGCAGGTCATCTTATTACGGAGAGGAAGAAAAATAGCCTGCAATGATCAAAGGAAGGTTTCAGGTTTATACAACTTGAGCTCTAGGAAACATAGCTGGCTGTCAATTACAACGGAAAATAATTATGACTCGTCTCTGTATATAAAAACAAGCAAATAAGTTTATAGTAATGCGCTTATAAAAGAATTCAGAAATGTGAACTTTCTACTGACTGAACGATGAGTTTTATTATTTTCTGTTGCAAATGAAAGCTGAAAACAGATGTTGACGGTTTAAGTGAATCTCTTTATGCCCACAGTTCTCCTAAGGCGACTCTGAAACATCGTCCCACCTGTAAAACGTTGCTCTCCGCCTCCTCTCCCGTACGGACCTCCACCTTCTCCAGAATGCACTTCTTGGCAGTGGCTTTGGTGTACGCGGCTGCTGACTCTTCCAGAGACTCTGTTACACTGTGATCTGATATATGCACAGAGAGAAAAACGTCAGGATGAACTGAACGTAGCATAACTCTACTATGGGGAAGACCTAGCTATTAATTAGGCCATGTCACATCCAATCACAAAACTTATTTAATATTCAAACAGCACACAATATAATGTGATTCTGGGATGACCAATGTCAAAATACATGTACAACTCGGATATGAGAAGTTTTCAGAATTTAGTCTTTTTTTTATTCTCACTGAAAACAAAATGATGCACTAAGCACCATTATATCACAGACAATCAGATCACAAGTTGAAGTTGATTTAATCCATTTCTTTTATTCACTTTCAACCACTTCTGTCAACCCCCATGTCATCCAAGATGTCCATGTCATTCTTTCTTCAGTCGAAAAGAAATTAAGGTTTTTGATGAAAACATTCCAGGATTTTCTCCATATAATGGACTTCAATGGGGTCCAAAGGAGAGTTTCAGTGCAAACTTAAACTTTGTTACTTTTTTTTTTAAATGAGCGCTCATTTCGCTAGATAAGACCCTTATTCATCGTCTGGTGTCGTTTAAAGCCCTTTGAAGCTGCACTGAAACTCTCTTTTGGACCTTGAACCGTTTGGACCCCATTGAAGTCCATTATATGGAGAAAATCCTGGAATGTTTTCATCAAAAACCTTAATTTCTTTTCGACTGAAGAAAGAAAGACCTGGACATCTAGGATGACATGGGGGTGAGTAAATTATCAGGAAAAGTCTTTTTAAAAGTGAACTACTCCTTTAAGCAATCCAGCTGAATGCATTTTCATCACCTCTGCTCTGTATTGCTTGAAAGTGGACAAGCTCGAAACATTTTAAACCCCATTTGCACCTGTATTTAATGTCGTCCCACTTGTGATCCGATCGAACATTATCTAAATTAAATACTTTATTTATAAAAAAAAATATATCATATAATGTGACAGACACAGTGTAATCACCATGGGAAAATCCCATGGGGCCAGTTGTTCAAAGGTAAGCTGATCGGATTTTGGTTATCGGATTGGATCAAATCTTGAAAATGGGTTGTTCAAAAGGGAAAGAAGGAATCTGAAATCAGATTAGATCAGGGAATCCAATCCTAGTTTTAATCTGGATCAAACCTTCAGTTTGTGTTGTTCAAAACTTGGATAACTTTGATCCAAAAAAACAGGATTATCCTGATCCCGACAGGGGGTAGGATTTCAAGGTGGATTTCAGGAAGAAAATGAAGTAAAACTTTAAAATTGCTCAAATAATACATTTGTATCATTCAGTGTATATACTTTTATTTATATTTTGCACTTGACTTGTGTAACCGTTGTAACAGTGATAAAGTAGACATAGGCTAACAATTAAGCTATTCAGTATAGTAAAATGATCTTGTCCCCATTTGTGTTTTGTCTCAAAATAAGAAACACTTACAGTGACCCCATGTTGGCTCTTCTACCTGTTCTTAGCCCACATTGTGACATGTTGTCCCATTTACAGCACTGGTAATCCATAAAACTGTGTATCTGGATCAGGGTGATCCGGTCCAATGTTGCTTTGAAAAACCGGGATGGGATTTCCAAATCCAGATCATTTTGATCCAGATTAAATGTTTTGAACAACTGGCCCATGATTACATAAAATATGATACCTCTTTATTCCTTTTATAACTGTATCATATCTCTTTTAATTCCTTTTATAACTTTTATAAGTTTCCTTTGTTTTATTTTGTGATTATTTTAATTCCTTTCTATGTAAAGCACTTTGAATCACCATAGTGTATGCTATATAAATAAACTTGCCTAATATAAATATAAGTGTGTGTGTGTGTGTATAAATGTAGTTCATGCTATGTGAAAGGGAACCTACTTTTCTCCGGCGTGGCCTCTTGTGACGACGGCTCGGACGCTGGAGCCGAACTGTCTTTAATGGCCTCTGTTGGCGCCTCGCCTCCTGTCGGGGGACTCTGGAAGAGCACACACACACACAACTATATTTAACCCTCTGGGGTTGTTCGGCCCAAATGGACCCGAAGAATTTAAATAATTTTTTTTTTAAAAATCAGTTTCCTCGGAATGGTCCGAAATTTGGTGACTTTGTTGGTATTTGGTATTTGAACACCCAAAAAAATTGGGGACAGGATGTGAATAGTCTAAGTGGTTGTAAAATAAATAGTCACACTTGGGGTGTTCGGGTCCAAATGGACCCGCATGGAAAATGAATGGGAAATTGGCAAAAATGTGAAAATACTGAGTTTTTTTGTGCATACAATCTACAAATCAGCAACAATCTTGAAAAAAAGCACACAACAGTGAAGGGGTGAATCTATAAAACATCAAGAGTGCAAAACAGACACATCCACACACACACACACACAAACACACTTTTATACACAAACACACAAAAAAATTCAGATTATACATGTGTTTTGCATTTTTAAAATGCTTAGTTTGTCCACCAGATGGCATCCATCTCATTTCAAAAATTGCTTTTATGAGGCCTAGGCTTGACTCTAAAATGAAATACAGCTTTAAAAAAAAATATATATATATTTTTTTTTTTTAAATATTTTTTCTATTATGTTCAATGGGGGGAAATTTTGTCATAATTATTGCATTAAAACTAATTATAAAAAAATATATTTTCGAAATTTTTTCAAAACACCAAAAAAGAAAAGAAAAAAATATTATAAAAAAAAAAAAAAAAATCATGATTTTTTTTTTTTTAAATATGAATCCCGCCCTTTGGGTCCATTTGGACCCGAACACCCCGAGTGTGACTCTGAAACGAACAACCCCAGAGGGTTAAAACACCTCTGACACCACTTCCAAAACAATTAATTTACTGTATTTTAACTTGCGTTTGCTGAAATATTTGAAGAAATACCCAAAATGAAAACCGAATAGGTTAGCATCTGTTTTGTTGTGGTGCTTTTGTGGAGTCACCTCCTCCTTTCATTGTATGGAAAAGAGCAGCTTGGACTTTCTGCTAATCTTCTCTTTTTGACGCCAAGTAAAATATTTGTATTTTTGGGTGAATTGGGTTTATTCTTGAACTACTCCTTCAAATAGAAAAATGTGTCTATGGTTCAAATCCACTCACTAGTACTCTCTCAGACATGTTCTGGCCAAAAACAAACTTGGAGCCTTTATCCGAGCTGTTTGTGGCATTGTTGGAGCTGTAAAACAGAAGCAGATTTACAAGACATAGTTCCCGGGCCAGAGAGCGAACAGCAATTGGATTCAGAGAGGTCTATTGAATCAGTTACCTAGCGCTGCCCATGTACTGTAAGAAATAATTGGTGCCGCCAGACTGAGAATCTTGCGTGGAGTCACTGGACGTGCTGTTTTCATCCAACTGTTCAATAAAAACACAAAAAGGAGAATTTAAGCGTAAACACAAACACTCCCGAGGGTGCCAATTTGCAGCTGTGAATAAAGAACGAAGGTGAGTCGGTGCTGACCTTCGCTCGCTCTTTGATATTCTGCCCGAACACAAACGACGAGTCCACCGCACAGTCCTTCTTCTGACTGCTGTCGTCTTTCTGTCCGCCTCCATTTTCTTCTCCTTCCTTCTCCCGCTTCTGCAAAGAAATACAATTAATGCAGATCCAGCGACAAGTCTATGGGATTTTCAGCAACATTATAAGGGATAGTTCGCTTTGAAATTCATTTATGGTATGTTTTAGCTTACCTCAAGGGCATCCAAGATGCAGGTGTACCCCTTGAGGTAAGCTAAAACATACCAAAAATTAATTTCAAAGTGAACTATCCTATTAAGATGTGAATACTGAAGGGGGTCTCGTATTAAAGTAATTTTGTATGCCGCAATTTAGGGCTGTCAAACGATTAATCGCATTCAAAATAAAAGTTTGTGTTTACATAATATATGTGGGTGCACTGTGTATAATTATTATATATAAATATATATATATATATATATATATATATATATATATATATTAGGGGTGGGCGATATAGCCTAAAAATTATATCACAATATTTCAAGAATATTTGCGATAATGATATTTATCACGATATAGAAAAAATATATATGAAACAATGTTTTATTGGTGATTGCAGCTGGCTGGCAGCAGCATAAGTGCAAAAAAAAAGTATAACATAACTCCTTATCATTTTATTTTAACAATAACTACAGTAATACATTAACAATATTAACAATAACTTCAGAAGCCTGAACAATATTGTCACCTAATAAAATTTACCTAAACTTTGAAGTACAAAAAATGTAAACAAACAGCGGCAATCCAAACAAACCTTCCAAATGTAACAGTTGCCTTGCATCTTTTTTGGATTAGCATCAAATGAGGTATACAATACCTAATTTATACAATAATTGCATAAAATCTGAATATTTAGGGAAAAAACATTTAGTGGGGAATAAATAAGAGACAATTGTAACACTAAATCTGGTAAAACATTACACATTGCTCTTTGTATTGTACATTTATGAAAAAACAAGGTAACAAAAATCAAAAGGATTAATTATTATATCCTAGACTAGTCTACTATAAAATTGAGACATGTTTAAAATGTATAGCACAGCTGTTTAATGAGGCAGCAACATATGATCGATAGGACAGAACAAAGGCTATTAATAATCTTTCATTGCGCAAAAGTGTTATGATATGAAAGGCTCCAATACATCGCACAGCGCTTATGCGCATCCCGAGCGCTGAATGATGCGCTTGAAGCAACACGGAGTCGCAGCGCGTCGAGTACTCCGCACTGAACAGTTCAAAGCACAAAGGAATTGGGAAATAAATACTGTATAATATACAGTATCTAGCTATGCAATCGTTTATTGAGTCCTTTCTTTTAACAGTTTTACATTTCAGTTACTGTGCGCGTGATGAACAATAGTGCTCTGACTCTAGTGTTTTGCTCTAACCGACACCCGGCCGGTAGAAAGTAACATGATGATTTAGTTACAGCAATAAAGTCCAGCAAGATAAAGTTGTTTTATGCGAAACCATAGACCTTTTATTTACAGATCAAATATAATAATAGTAACATTGAATCATCTTAGAAAGAGTTTAATCGTGTTGACTGTTGTACCCGAACTGCGGAAACTCTGAAGGAAGATTAGGCGAATGCAAAATGTACGCTAGTAGGGAAGTGGTGAAACGAGTTTTCATGCATATTTGACAAAAAAAATAAATTGTGTTGTTGGAGATCTGACCTCTTGTACTCAAACAACTTCCATACTATTGAAGTAGCTCCCTTTTTAGGAACTAAATCTTGATCTGATCCGGAGGCTGACATGCTGCTGTTTTGTTGTGCGCGCGCTAAGTAACGTAAATACGCCATACGTCATCATATCATCAATATCGCGATATGACAATTTTTTATCATGTAAAATTTTATACCGGTATTATCGTGGACGGTATGATATGGCACAGCCCTAATATATATATATATATATATATATATATATATATATATATATATATATATATATATACACACACATTTGCTTCTATATATTTAACCCCTTAACTGTCACTTGTCTAAATCTAAATTTACTTCACTATATTACAATTAAATCCTGATCTAGTCATGACAAGCTATATATCGTTGGAAAGGTCTAAGACTCCTAAATAGATATTTTGGCACTGTTTCTTTTTTACAAATTATGAATGAACAGTAATATATGAATTTATGACAAGAGTGCGCCTCAAAAAAAAAAATCAACGTCATTACAGGAGTTTCTGACCTTTGTCACAAAAACTCGACGCACACACTTTTAATAATTGAAACTTTGGTTTTTAGTGCTAAAAGTTGATAATAAAACAATTAGTATTTGTCAATAAAAAAAGATAATTATATTTTAAACAGTAAGGTAAGAAGTCCTCTAAAAAGTATAATATATATATATATATATATATAATTTTTTTATTATTATTATATCACATATTTTAGTAGTTATCATAAATTAGGTATCATTTAATAGCTTACGAACTCAGAATTCATCCTGTGAAAACAGTTTTGAAATTGGACATTGCGTTACCATAGAAACGTTTTTTATTTTTTATTAGGCCCCTCTCCTTTTGGGCATCATCTTTCATAATTTATTATCAAAACCTTTTCTAATCTTGACAAAACACATATTGTCAGAAAGGTCTGAGTCTCAAGGTTCCATATTTTGTGACAGAAGTGATATTTGTATAGAAATGTATTAATTTGTTATGGCAGAATGCATACAATTAAATTCAATGGCACCCGGTGGCTATTTTTGGTACTACGCCTAAACAAAATCTCATTGGAACTTCAAAATTTGTGAAATCTACTAAATTTGGAACACAACTTGGTTAGATATATAGCTTTCATTTTATAGTAAAAAATATTTTGTAAAATATTTATTTTATATTAAAAAAATATATATATATATTTATAAATTATATTTGATTTACTGTAAATTATAACTTCCATAACTGTTTCATTCTTTAATAATCTGCTGATTGTTTTCTTTAAAACAAGACCAAACTTGGGTATATATTCCAAAGCATTCTTGAATTACAACCATTTAAGTTTGTATAGTGCATTTTAATGTCAATTATCAAAAAGGGGGGTGACAGTTAAGGGGTTAAGAAATATTTTCATCTATATACTGTATATCAATTTACATATAATTTATATTATATATAAATAAATATTTTATATACAAATATTTTTTTTTCTTAAATATACATGCATGTGTGTGTGTATTTATATATGTAAAATAATGATCAATGATAACAGGTGACAGAGATATTTACGAGATGCTCTGAACAGAATGCAATTAGTTGCGATTCATTTATCAAGCGTTTCCATCTCAGATGTTTGTGCAGTATGTCCTCACCGGTGATTTGTCTGAGCTCTCTGTGTTGTTCAGGAAAACGGATCGGCTTTCTGATGATGAATCTCCAAACTTCCCCACTCCATTTGTCCCACAGCTGGAGTCTGTGAGTGAAAAAAACAACAAAAAAAGCATAAACTAACAACATCACACTCTCAACACACATTTCCAGTGCTAAGGAGTCATGAATACTAGAGGTCATCCGATACGTCGATAAATATCATGGTGACTGATGGCCTATAAAATACAATTTTATTATACGTTTTACCACTAAAAGCATTGAAAACTGACATTGTTTATTTTCTGTTGACAAGGTCGTCTGTAGCTTTTGGAAGGAAAAACTACTCGAGTTAAACGGTCCAGCCGGGACAATTATAAGCTGATCATTTAAATTCATTTTTCAGTCTAATATATCTGTCTTTAACAGTAAACAGATTCAAAAGTCCCCTGTTGTCCAGCACAATACTTGAATGGGGGGAATAGACTTTTACTTGTTTAGCATTTAACATGATTATTTTAATATATTATTCATTTATTCATTTGAATACTTAGTCATCACCTAGAAGTGGCACCAACCAGTCTTCAGTAACTGCTAATAGCTTAGTTGTGTTCATGCTTGTTTATAGCTCCTAACTTAAAACCGGTCTTGTGAATATGAGGGATGATTACCTCATACAAACAGCTTTAGCTATTTAACTATATAATTGATTAAAGATGCTTTAAATCAGGGCTATTCACTTAAAGTTCCAAGAGGTCCAGTCAGTCGCTATATTTCCTTCCAGCAAATCTCCGGGCTTTAAATTTTTGTAATGATTATGAGTGTGTCGTTAAAAAACAAAAGGAGACATGCCTAAACGTTTGTTTGTTTATATTTATTATATATATATATTATATATTATATATATATATATATATTAGGGCTGTGCAAAAATTAATTGCGATTAATCGCATCCAAAATAAAAGTCTGTGTTTACATAATATATTTGTGTGTGCTGGATATAATTATTTTGTATATATAAATACACACACATGCATGTATATATTTAAGAAAATGTGTTATTCATATATAAAATATTTATATTTATATAATATAGATTATGTATTATAAATATATACAGAATTTAAGCGCAAATAATTCTTAAATATATACATGCATGTGTGTGTATTTATATATGAAGAGTTCAGATGCAAAAGCCTCTAAATGCCATTTGAAATTTTCTTCTTTAATGATGATTTTCATCAAACTTGCATATTTAAGTTCAGTAATTTCACTTAAATAACAATTAATAGGTAATTATCATTGTCATTTAGTGAAATTACTGAACTTAAATATACAAGCTTGATAAAAATCATTATTAAAGAAGAAAATTTCAAATGGCATTTAGAGGCTTTTGCATCTGAACTCTTCATATAGAAAATAATTATATACAGCACACACAAATATATTATGTAAACACAGACTTTTATTTTGGATGCGATTAATCGCAATTAATTTTTGCACAGCCCTAATATTTATATATATATATATATATATATATATATATATATATATATAAAAAATACAAACATATATACACACACAAAAACCATTTATAACAACATATTTATTAATTAGATTAAGTCATAATGTTGACTTTCATAGGCCGTAGTTTTTTTTTTCCTAATATGAAAGTCAATGGGGTCCATCAACTGTCCGGCTCCCGACATACTTCAAAATATCGTCATTTGTGTTCAGCAGAAAAAAGAAATTCATACAGGTTTGAAACAACTTTTTTTAAAGTGAACCAATCCATTTAATATGGCGCTTTAGCGAGAGAGAGAAGCAACGAAGAACAAAAAAGACGCTTGGCTCTAAATAAAAACCGAGGATATAGCACATAACGCTTGCGGTGTGAACAGCTCTGTTGCTCACTTTAAACTGTAGAAATGGTCAAATGGTGCGCGGTCCGGTTGGAACCAAGGCAGGGTTGGCCAAGCCACTGATTGAAGATGTCTGCTTTAGACAATTATAATAAAATTAGCTCAAAATTTTCAAGAATCCAGAAACAAAATTAATTGGTTCCGGAAACAAAATCCGATTTCAGGGAAACTAGGCCACTCTGGCTTAGATTTACACATCCGTTGTTCTAAACACAACATGAGCCTGAAATGGGCTAAGACCTCCACATATTCTGTTGCTCTGAAAGCCAGCAGAGAGCATTATGGGATTTGTACATACTGGTCTTGACGGGTTCTGTGAGGGTCTTGGCCGGAGGAGCCTGCAGAACGGCTGGTCTCAGAACACTGCGCTGCTGTTCTTTGGGCTTCTGACTGGGAACGCCTGGAAAACAACCTACTAACGGATTGAATCAGAAACCAAACACCGCAGGGCAACAACACACACCAGTGTTTGAGGATCAAGTAGAAAAGGCTTAATTAGCCTAGGTCTTTAGCAATGGAACAGCTAGTGTTGTTATACATTACTAAAACTCTTATTGTATTCAAACAGAGGTTTGAGAGAGGACCGGGAGTGGTCGGGTGGCCTAAGCACAATTACGCTACATGTCGGAGTGCTGATAACGAGGATATCTGCTCTGACAACTAAAAGTTTTGAAATTTATTTCCACCATTTCAAATTATTTATGTAAACTGAAATAAAGCATAAATATTAAATATTAGATCGACTTTTTTTTTAAATGTCGCCTTGGCAAGTAAATGAAATTGAATAAGTACTAAAATTAAATTTAAATTAAAAACTAAAATTAAATTAAATTGTTTAATTTCATTAAAACTAATTAAATTTAATTTACTCAAATTTAAATTAAAGACTAAAAATTAAAACCAAAATTGAAACTAATGTAAAATATATTTTTAAAAAAAGTTTTTAAAAAAAAAAAACAAGGACTGTCACTAACGATTATTTTGGTAACTGAGTAATCCGATTTTTTGCGTGGTAATAAAAATGGACCTTTAAAATGACTTGATATACATAGAGGCAATAGAATTTGGTTCAAACTAAATATTAAAAACAATTAAACATTTGGTTAGAACACTTAAAACACATAAAGTACATAATATAAACATTTATCTTATGTACATTATGTATTATAACAATTGCCTATAGAGGGCGACAACGGCCTGGTGATTGTTACACTTTACAGCGTGATCAAATCATTGTTGAATATTGGCTAAACAACATTTAATTCAAATTGCTTAATCTTTAATATTTGGCTGGCTACTTACAATTGCTACTGTAAAGGCATTCATATGCGTAATTTTCATACGCGTTTTTTCGTATTCGTGATTCAGTGGCTCTGAATTGTCAAAACAAACTGCTTGCTACGGATGCGAAAAACGCAGAAAATCGAACCCGATTCGATTCTTTTTATGACGGACGAAAGTTTCGGAGGCAGTGTGCAAACATCATTGTCATAACGTTAGATCGTATTTCGGACTGTGTGCAAGGGCCTTAATTTCTTGAACAAAAATATGTGGACATCAAAACATTCAAAGTCAGAGCAAATCGTTTAAATGTATTTTGAAATCGTGATGAACAGTTCGCATATTTAGAAAGATATTTATGTATTCTACGGTGTTGGCGTAAGCTTATAGACCATTTCACAAGATATAAACAACACTGGTCCAGAAGCACTTCCTGTTTCAGTTTGTAACTGTTTTCTTTATTTCACATGTACAAGAAAACATCTTAAAGATGTTTGTTTAACTTTTTGATTCACTTTTAAATGTTCTGTTGGTTGTATTTTATCCCAGCTTTTATGTAGTGTTAAAAAACTGAAACAGGAAGTGCTTCTGGACCAGTGTTGTTTACATCTTGTGAAATGGTCTATAAATGATTTACCTTACAAATCTGATGAAATGGCACACATTTAGTTGCCAGATGAATGTTAAAAGCAACCAAAACTCATGTAAATGATAACTGTTCAAGTGGAGCAGGATTTACTGTGAACAGAGCCGCTCTGAGACACACGTAACCTGCACGCATGAAAATAATTAAAGCGCATTTTAACCCACAGGGCATTTATTCACTTAACTTAATCGAAGGGTTTGTGATTATCGAAATCGAACTGTTATAGTATGATTTTGAAATCATTTTAACTTGTGCAGCTTTAGAAAACGGTCTAAGATATTTACTATATTTATGATAACTACGATATTTACGATATCTACGATAATTAGATATTTACGATATCTAATTTACGGTATTTTGCCGTTACTTGACTGTTAAATTCAAAACTGCAATCAAGGATTTTATTAAATCGAGAACCCGAATTTAATCGAGGAATCGTGACAGCCCTAAAAGAAATTACGAAAATGAAAAAGCGCATGTAAAATGGCTAACATTAAATTAAACCGAAAAGGCTCATTCAAAATAATAAATACTATAATATATAATGCTAAAATAATGTTCAAAGCCAGGGGTGCAAAACTCACCACAGCCCTGCAGTGTTTAGCATCAACCCTAACTAAACACACCTGATCCAGCCGGGTGCACACTGTACGATTTTAATAGTCCTGTTGCTCGTCAAACTGTGTGAACATGACCCCCGCTGTAAGCCATGTCACACTGTAGGATCTCAGTTGTCATTACTGTCAGAATGTACGGCAGTCAAGATGCATTAAAAACATTGCATGCAAGAAGACTCATCATTCATAGGTTCGTGACAGTGAGATGCATTACATGCAGGATTTATTTAAATCATGTTCATTTCAAATACTTATATGACTGACAACAGTAGTGCGGCCAGGATATTGACATTTAAAAAGTGAAGTTGCAGCCCTCAACTGATGTTGATGTTGTCATGTTGTGTTTTGGTCTGATGCGCCACCCTCCACCAATCGACCAATCACGGAGTCAGTAGTGTTGCAGCATCCGGGTTGCAAGACTCTTAAAAGAAAAGGTTCCATATAGAACCTTAAAAGGTTCCATCAGTGCTACGTATTTGGAACCCCTAAAAGGTTCTATACACTCTTAAAAAAAGGGTTCCTCTGGGTTCTATATAGAACCCTGGGGTTCCATACTTGGCCAATAGAACCTTTTACCAAAAAAATGGTTCTATATAGAACCATTTTGGAGTTCCATATATGAAGCGGGGGGATGGAACCATTTCTGGTTCTAAATAGAACCATTTGTTCTAAGAGTGCATGCACAGAAGAAAAGGTTCTATATAGAACCTTAAAAGGTTCTATTAGCGCTATGTATATGGAACCCCTAAAAGGTTCTATACACTCTTAAAAAAAGGGTTCCTCTGGGTTCCACATAGAACCCTGGGGTTCCATACTTGGCCAATAGAACCTTTTACCAAAAAAAATGGTTTTATATAGAACCATTTTGGAGTTCCATATATGAAGCGGGGGGATGGAACCATTTCTGGTTCTAAATAGAACCATTTGTTCTAAGAGTGCATGCACAGAAGAAAAGGTTCTATATAGAACCTTAAAAGGTTCTATCAGCGTTATGTATTTGGAACCCCTAAAAGGTTCTATACACTCTTAAAAAAAGGGTTCCTCTGGGTTCCACATAGAACCCTGGGGTTCCATACTTGGCCAATAGAACCTTTTACCAAAAAAAATGGTTTTATATAGAACCATTTTGGAGTTCCATATAAGAAGCGGGGGGATGGAACCATTTCTGGTTCTAAATAGAACCATTTGTTCTAAGAGTGCATGCACAGAAGAAAAGGTTCTATATAGAACCTTAAAAGGTTCCATCAGCGCTATGTATTTGGAACCCCTAAAAGGTTCTATATACACTCTTAAAAAAAGGGTTCCTCTGGGTTCCACATAGAACCCTGGGGTTCCATACTTGGCCAATAGAACCTTTTACCAAAAAAAAAATGGTTCTATATAGAACCATTTTGGAGTTCCATATATGAAGCGGGGGATGGAACCATTTCTGGTTCTAAATAGAACCATTTCTTCTAAGAGTGCATGCAGAGCTGCAGATACAAACGTGTCGGATAAAAAAAAATGTTGGATCCTGCAGCCTATCTGGCAACCTCGAGTCAGGGAGGAGGTGATGCACCGCTCTACAGTAATTTGAAAGTGATTGCAGTACCAGTTTTGGCCACAATCTTGCATACAGCTCCTTTAAATGGTAGCTAGCAAACTAAAGCAATGGCTGCTTCCAAAAATCACCGCCTATACCCTTAAATAGGGCACAGCCATTAGTAGCTGTGTCCATAACCATGATGGACATTATCCAGTGCACACATTCAATCCCACAACGCACCGCAATAATGAATGCACAACCGATGTATGCTCAGCGGCGTATAAATTCTTGTGTCTGACCAGAAGATGGCGCAGCTTAATCATCCATCGATCCATTTTACAAACTGCTGGTCAAATGTGGCTGTCGCGCAATATCATACAGGTATAAATTGATTAGTAATAATGCTAGTTTCCATAACGGAGTTCAAAATAACTCTTTTCATTACTAGTTTCAAATATATCTTAAAAAAAGCAAGCACAAATTATGCAAAAGCACTCGTTTTCAATCAATCCTTCAAGTGGACTATATTATTGAAGTAATGTAGGAACCAGTGAATGAGGGTATAGGGGGAAATCTCTCCCATTAATTTTGATCATGGCTGGACTGTGTGTGTGTGGAGCTTGTTGTCTCACTAATTGCTTCATCAGTTTCTGAGCGGATTTTGGCATAGGATCTTTTATTTGTCTCAGACGGCCAAAATTGTACAGTGTGAACCCGGCTTTATTTGAAAACTACAGGTGTGTGTGTGTGTGTGTTGGAATAAAACCGTGGGACTGTGGCCCTCCAGGAACTTAGTTTGCACCCCTGTTCAAAGCAACATCTCATGAAAAAAAAGCGAAACATCGAAGCAAACGGACTTAAATCTATTTAAAGAGCTTTTAAATGTACAAGATGACATTTAAAAAAAGGAATGAAAGAGGAAGCTTCACAGTCAGACCCATTGTGACTAATTACCCTGCTCAGGAGAGTATATTTATGTGAGTGATCTACACACACACACAGGAATGAGTTGATCTTACCTGAGCTTGGGGCCTGGCCATGAATGAGTGTGGGGGGTTTCAACCTGAACCCAACGGGCTTCTCTTCTGAGACAGACAAACAGAAGCATAAACATGTAAAGCAAACATCCCTTATGCAAGACGAGAGATAAGATCTCTCAGACAAAACAAACACTCAAATTTAATTCATATTGTGGCCACAAACACATCAGAAAAGGGTAAGCCGCATGAATGGCACACAACTCACACCCTCTCAATGCTATAATTCTAGTTAAAGAAAGGTTTGAAATAGAGCCAGACCGATATTATCGGCCGATATATTAGGCATTTTCTAAAATATCGGTATCGGCAGTTATAATGGCCGATAAATGAATATTTCAAAAATAAAATAAAAACGAACGAAACGCGCTTCAACCATGTCATGAGTGTTGGAGTTGTATAGTTTGTCCACCAGAGGGCGCTCTACACCGTCCCTGTTGGCAACACTCGTGTATAACGCAACACACATCCTGCAACCTGCTGATCCAGCCAGAGTCGGGCAGAGAGAACCAGTTATGCATTATCATATTATTTTAGTTAAAACTCATAATTAACTACAAATAACTAATGTTAGGGAAATCTGTTAATATTTTGTTGCGCGTTTCTGAAATAAAAAAAAAATTTATTAATAAAATAAAATAAAAAATAATAATAATAATATCGGCCGATATATCGGATTTTAAAACCAACAAATAAAAATAAAACCAAAAAATTAAAACCAAATAAAATTAAAGCTGCAAGCAGCATTTTGCGGGGTTCAAGCAGTTTAGGCCTTTAAGGCCTTTAAGCACAAAAGCATCAAAAGACATTAAGTTTTATGTAGCAAGCATTATTTACCATGATAAACCATATTTCAATGTGGTTTTTCATGATTTACCATGTTCTAGTATGATTTACCATGAATCTAACATGATTTTCCATAGTTTACCTTGATATACCATGTTATAGGATGGTTTACCACAATATAGCAAGTGAAAAGACTATTAATAAGAAAAGTGGCCAGCAGAGGGCAGTAGAAGACCACTTATTGGCACACTTCCATTTTGAAATGCTTTGTTTCTCCACTATTCTGCACTAAAGCAAACCATTTTTTTCATGTTAACTTCATAAAGCATGCTTACACACAAACGCACGCACACGCACACACAAACACACACACATTTATAGTGTGTACAGTATATGTATAGTTTGACTGCAAAACATTAACAAAAAGAAATTTGTTAAATAAATTAACTATGCAAAATATAGTGTGTACTAGGGGTGGAGCCGAATACGGTATTCGGAAAGGCACAAATAATGTGTTTTTTACGAATACTTATTCCGAACAAATACTTAAAAAATATTTGTGTTCGGGAACAAGAAATACTGTATGTCAAAAAGCTGCGTTCCTCACGAGACCGCAGTGCGCGAGTTGAGTGAGCGACGTTCAGGAAGAGGTGACTGACACAGGCTGCTCCACACAGCAACAGAGAGGGCTCGGCTGAGCGAAAAAACACTTAACTGCATCACTATTTTTGTTGAATAGATGTTTGTACCTTAACTAGGTTCCAGAGGCAGTTTATAACTTTCGGGAAGCGGAGTTTGATCGGGAGTATATTCCATTATTGACGTCTGCAGACGAGTGCTCTCCTGTTCGCTCTGTTTACGTAGCTCTGTTAGCTTGGTAACGGTAATTATTTGTTTCTTATATGGCTTGGTTGAATTCTAATGTAGAGTGCGGTCTGTTATTATAACAGGCCGCTGCTTATAAGTATAACACACCGTTGCCATGAAAAACAGAGCGTTGCCATGGATTCTAAACGTAGAGACAGAACGGACTTTTTCTTTTTTATCGGCAATCGTTTTTTAAATCAATAAACTCCGGTTTATATCTATATTTTGAGTCAAATTATTGATTTACTTGGTAGGTAGCAATGTAATAAGCAGGGTAATGTAGAGCGAGGCGGTTGTTATAGCGAATATAAACCCGCAGGCTTTGCGTAATCCCTAACTTATTCTGTCTGTTAAGCGTCCTTCACCGTGGTGTTGGGGTTCATAATGTTCACAATTGTATTTTATTAGTTGTTGGTTTAACCATGGTTCATGAGGTAATGGCTGACTGTTATTTTCTTCTCAATGACTTTTCTTGTTACATGTTCATTGCTGGATTTATAGAAAAACACCAACCAATATTGCATAATGGATATAATTAAATAATTCATAATAGTAATTGAAAAGATTTCCTTTCTAATCTCTTTCAACTCCATTTTGCTTTTTCAATGAGACTCTGCCACTTCACCATGCACGACTCACCCGTTGCCTATAAATTGATTGTGAACCCTTTGGCTCATTCTTTGCACTCTTTCCTGGCATTTTGATGCATAACTGTGTGTGTCTTCATGAATTACGTGAGTCCATCTATTAATTTGATTGTGTTTACATTGTTTATGCCTTTTTATGATTTAATGTCACTGTCAGCCTGTGCGCTGCTAATTGATTAATTTGTTTGCCAGACATGTGCCCTGAGCCATGTTGAAAGATTGTTTGTTTCAATGATTTTTTTACAGCCTGTTTTATTGTGATTAGTACTCATATCTTTGTTCATTTATATCATTGTTCCTTTTGTGTTGATTGATCACTGTCACCAATTGTATTATTTCTTTATCTCCTTATGCAACAACACACAAACAATGCATTGATCCAAAGTCAACAGGCACCTAAGACGAACTCTTATATTGCGCTGCATTACTGTGTTGTTGACTATTACTGACGGTAAGGTTGTACTGTTGATCCTCGCGCAGCCTCTCGAGCAGAAATCTACACAAATGAGCGCAGAACACACTCAGACCCCATTTACACCTGGTATTAAAATGCGATCTGTATCCAGATAAGTTATCCGGATAATAAAAAAACGCATGTTAATGCAAGGTGTAAATGCGTTGTGATCGCGATTGGATCTGCCTGACCACATCTGCAGGTAGTCTGGGTCGCATTGTGTCCGGATCTTTACTAGGTGTAAACGCAATCTGGTTGTTGAAACCACATATGTATATTTTACTCCTCCCAAAAAGGCAAAAAAATAAACGAGTAAGCTTGTTATATAGGCTATATGTCATGTTATAGTCAGATATGACGGCGCTACTGCGACACGGATCACCCATCACCGCTCATGAGCGTCTATTCATCGAGCCAACGTGCAAACATCGCAAATAAAAGTGAAAGTAAGTCACAGACGCTTAACACACAATCATCTTCAAGTAAAGAAACGAAATTATCTTACCAGCGGTGTTGCCACTCTTTTATTGATGTCTTTGATTTGGAAATTAGCTGATGATCAACGAAATGCAGCTCATATCTGTTGCTTTTGGTGTCGTTCAATCCATTAAATCTGCATACGCAGGAGTTTAAGATCGGATTTATATCCGTTTTGCAAAAACACATGTATGTGGCCAGGTGTAAATGGAATCGGTACTTATTATCCAGATAACTTGTCTGGATACAGATCGCATTTTAATACCAGGTGTAAATGGGGTCTCTTATTTTTCCTGAACACCATCACGATTGAAAATGTGACATTGATTTCCTACAACAGTTCAATAAACAGTAAAAAATTAAATCACTTACATTTTAGATGCTATATTGGCTGTTTTTGTTGTGTTTCAGCAGCGAAAATAGTTCCAAACAATAATCACAGCAGAACCACGGCACATGTCACAGGAACACTCGACGTGTTTTCATTACTGAATCATTCAGCATTTTGAACGAATCGATTGAGTCAAAGATTCAAAGACACATTCAAAAACATCGGTCTCATTCTTGAATGATCAGCCGTTTGAACGAATCGTTTGAATGAATGAATTGAATGACTCACTCATTAAGACGGTCGCCTGCCACCACCTACTGGCGGTTTAGTGTTAAATGTTTAAAAGTAGTATCATTCTTTCCCAGTTTCTTATGTAAATTTAAATAAATGTCATAACATTATTTTATGCAATTGTGTTTTTTCAGTGTAAATGATTTAATTTGATCAGCCCCTAGAGTAACAGCCCATAGTGTCTTATTATTCGAAATAATACACCAGAATTTATAGTTTACCCACCTCTTTTTTTACCACTACACCTCTGACCATAGTGTACATTAATTTACCACGTTCTAGCATGATTTATCATTATTTACAGTGATTGGGGCTTGGATGATTGGATTTTAATGTGATTCTAGGAATACAGTATAGCTATTTACCACGTTAATAGCAATTATGTGAAGATTCAGAACAACTGAAGTGATAAACTTTGACAAAAAAATGATTGTGTTCAATATTTGACCAAATGTGATTGCAAATGTTAAAATAGATAATTAATAAAGTCATAAAATTAATTATAGTTGAGTGGTGAGACAATTACTATTTTGAACAGCAGAGGGCAGTAAAACACCACTTATTGGCTTAATAGACCATCATTTTGATATCATTTCACTTTTTTAACTGTTATTTAGGCATATTTTGTCAGATCTGTCTGTAAATGTTCATGATTATTTAATGTCACATGTTCTGACTTGTTTATTGAAGAGATCAATGCTTTCAGGGACACTGAAAGTGTAGTAATAGATGGCTTCAACACACTAAATGTTGAAGCCATCCTATTATAGTCATCCACATGACGTAGTTTAACTTTTTCTTATAATTATTGATCTAGAGAGTCCAAAGAATTGTACTGCACTGGTTTTAACATTATGATATGATCAGAGATGGAAAACACCATTTACAGTCAATAATGGCAATTTACCATAGGGATTACATTGTTTTTAACATTTTTAACAGTTATAGCGCCACCTATAGTCCGATCTCCATGAAACTTTGCATGCTTGTTAATGATGTGATGACACATATGCTCATCAATTTTTGGGATGTTCTGAGTTTTCCTTTAGGATTTATAGGCTTTTGGGTGCATTTTGTCACGCCCCCTTTTGTAAATGACCCTGTTATAGCAAAACAAATGTCAAAGTTCAACTTTTTTTTGATAATTATTGATCTAGAGAGTCCAGAGAATTGTCCTAGACTGGTCTGGTTCCGA